GAAGGGACTTCGCACAGCTCCAGTGATCTGTTGAAGATCTGTGTGAAGATGGGGGCCAGCTGGTCAGCACAGGTTTTCAGACAGGCTGGTGTGGCACCGTCTGGGCCTGGTGCCTTTTTTCTCTTGCTCTTTCTGAAGACCTGATGCACATCATCTTCACTGATCTGAAGTGCAGGTGTGGGGGAGAGGAGGGTTGCTGGAGGTGTTAATGTTGTTTTTTCAAACTTGCAATAAAGCTCATTCAGATCATCTGCCAGTTGTTGATTTTCCACAGTGCTGTGGGGATGGTGTCTTGTAGTTGGTGATGTCTTTCAGAACTTTCCACACTGATGCAGGGTCATTGGAAGAGAATTGGTTCCTTAGCTTTTCAGAATAATTCTTCTTTGCCACTCCGATCTCCTTTTCCAATGTGTATTTGGCCTGTTTATACTAGACTCTGTCCCCATTCCTGTAAGCATAGTTTTTGGCCTGACGGAGCTGTCTGAGTTTTGCAGTGAACCATGGTTTGTCGTTGTTGTATGTTAAATAGGTCCTGGTAGGAATGCATATGTATTCACAGAAACTGATATAGGATGTTACAGTCTCTGTGAGCTCGTCCAGATCATTGGCAGCAGCTTCAAAAACACTCCAATCAGTGCAGTCGTAGCAGGCTTGTAAATCCCGCTCTGCTTCATTAGTCCATCTTTTTACAGTCCTTAATACAGGTTTAGCTGATTTCAGTTTCTGCCTGTAGGTCGGTATAAGATGAACCAAACAGTGATCAGAGAGCCCCAAAGCTGCTCTGGGGAAGGAGCGATATGCATCCTTTATTGTAGTGTAACAGTGATCCAATATATTGCTGTCTCTGGTGGGACATGTAACGCGCTGTCTGTGTTTTGGCAGTTCACGTGAGAGATTTGCTTTATTAAAGTCCCCGAGAATGATAATAACAGAGTGCGAGTGTTGTTGTTCTGTGTCTGTGATCTGATCAGCGAGTTTGTGTAAAGCTGAGCTCACTTGCGCTTGCAGTGGAATGTAAACACTCACGAGAATGAACGAGTGGAACTCCCGCGGTGAATAGAAAGGCTTACAGTTAATGAAGAGAGCTTCTAGATCGGGACAGCACATCTTCTTTAACACTTTTACATCTGTACACCACCTCTCACTGATGTAAAAACATGTCCCGCCGCGATCCGTTCTAAACAGCTGGAAGCCCGGCAGATTTAAAGCGCTGTCCGGTATGGCGTCATTCAGCCAGGTTTCCGTGAAACACAGTGCAGCAGAGTGTGAAAAATCCTTGTTGTTCCGGGAGAGCAGAAAAAGTTTGTGCGTTTTGTTGGGTAGAGAGCAGAGATTAGTTTTTGTGAGAGCGGAGATTGTGTTTATGAAAATCATAAATGTGTTTGCGTGTGTCAGAACTGGACCAGGAGCAGCTGAGTTCGTCTCTGAAGGGCATCGAGGACCGTTTGGTGGAAGAATACAAGAACAGCACCAGCTACAAACAGACCAAAAGCGAGCTGGAGCGAATCGTTCAGGGACAGGAGTACAGCACACGACCCAAATCCAGAACCATCACCTACAGCACGTCCTCCTGCCACCAGTTCAACTGGGTCCTCAGGAGAACCTTCAGGAACCTCATGCTGAACCCACAGACCTCATTCGCTCAGGTCAGCACCACCGCAGGCATTCACAGATGTTTCTATCAGTCTTAAATATTTAAGCCTACTATTTAAGTTACTCTGAGATTTTAAGATATTTCAGTAATTTGATAACACACAACATAATGTTATTTTAGGATCATTGAGATGCTAGTATAAGTTTCATTATTATTTTAAATTAGTTTTTAATTTTATATTTTTGTAATTTTTAATCATTTTAATCATTTGTTTTTGTTTTTATAAATTGTATTATTTTGTCTATATTATGTATATTACTTTTAAATTCTTTTTAATTTTGAGTTTATTTTTGTACAGCAAGTTAAACTAAATAAAACTGAGATGTTTCCTTGGCAACTGGTTAAAATAAAATAAGATCTCTTTTTTAATATTTTAAGTAAAATAATTTTTATATTTAATTTTATGTGTTTTATTATTTTAAGTAACAGTTTTTTTTATTGTTTTAGTTAAATATAATAACTCATGCAGGTAAACATAAAATATTTAGTCTTTTTAAATAGGTGCTTTATTTTTATTGTTTTAATTTCAAAATGATTTATGTTAATTTTACATGATTATTTTACGAATTTTTAAATTTTTGTCAACTCTTCTCATAGATTAATATGAATTCTGTTTGATTCATTGAATATTCACAATATATTTGAGGTGAATTTGCTGGTGATATTAACTTGAGCAACACTGAAAATATTTCAGTGGTTATCTTTTTTTTGTCAAAATATATGTGAAAAGAAAATGTATATCTATATGTAAATAAAAAAATAATGATGAAGTTTTGATTTGGGTTGATGCTAGTATTTCTATATTAATCTGAGATTGTTTCTCCAGATCGGGGTGATGATTTTCCTGGCTTTGGTTGTTGGAGCCATATTTTTTGGAGTGGAGAAGAATTCAAGCGGCATTCAGAACAGGTATGAAAACACATTCATCCAGTTCAGTCATTATTTCAGTATTTCTGTGAGAAGAATCATGTCCACTTGAATTAGAGTGATTCAGTGTTCAGATCTGATGAACAGAAGCTGTGTCTCTTCAGCCCTGGTGTTTTCAAATATAATTTACTGAATAAAATTTTGTTGCAACTTCATGTACATCTCATATATTTTGAAAATTTTTTAAAAACTCCAGTTGGTTGTCCACTTGTGTGTGTGTGTGTGTTTCAGGATGGGCGCGCTGTTCTTCATTACCACCAATCAGTGCTTCAGCTCCGTTTCCTCAGCTGAACTCTTCATCACTGAGAGGAAACTGTTTGTGTGAGTAAATACACACACACACACACACACTTGAGTTGGCAAGTGAGAACCGGTTCTTCCTGAATTCATTTAATTATGTTTGGTTGCATTAAGGATTCTTTATTGTCTGCTTCAGAACTGAATTGTTAAAAGTTCTGATTTGCATCTCTAACACACAGCAGTTTATCCAAACATTCTGTAGGAGGTGAAATAACTTAGGCAAGTAAATAAATGTAGAGTGTTTGTTGATAGTGGGATTATTTGTAGTTTTAATGCACATATCCAGTGTAGAAACATTGTAATTGTAGGTTGTTTATGTATACAATTAATTAAAATAAATTTAGAAACATTGTAATTGTAGGTTGTTTATGTGTACAATTAATTAAAATAAATAAAAAATGGCTTTGTATATAATTATGGTTTAGTGTGATTATCAAATAGGGTGAAAAGGTTATTTAGGTAAAGGTTTTTAAATTGTTTAATTGTTATTAATAGAATTATTAGTAAATATATCTGTTTTGATGTATTCTACAGTACAGTAGTATTATTAGAGTTGTAGGTTATTTTGATATTTCATTTTATTTTAAATGTATTTGTTTTTTATTATTGTGTATTTAAATAACAACATTTTTCAATGGTTTTAGTGAAATATACTTCCTGACAGGATAGGGCTGGACAATAATTCAATATCAATATGTATCGCGATATAATTCTTTTCAATAACGGTGATATGATTTTTAAACACATTTCCGATATTTCGATATACATTACCAGTGTTTCCCATACATTGATTTATTTGTGGCGTTTGACTTCGTTGAATAAACATTAGCCCTGCACGTTTAAAAATCAAAACGTGGCGCGGGTGTTTTATATGAATGAATCTCTGA